CATATAGCGCACCTTGAAACTCCCGAGGGGTGTCCAAGGCCAATCGGTGAGAATCCCTGGTTTTGTGGCCATTATACCGTCGAATGTAATATTTGGGATTGTGTGTGTATCTCTCCAATTCTTGTCACACCCAAGCATATTATATAGAACAGTATCAAACTCTTTGGTAGATGCATAATGACGAAATCACCCCCATCTTCCCAACAGCCTTCTTTCCTATGGTGGGCCCCGGTTAGACCAAACATGTACTGCTTCCATTCGATGCTTTCCACGTGGATCTTGTGCATTTCCAATGAAAAATACTCATAAGAGATCATTAATAGTAAAATTTTATAGGTGTTTTGAAATATAAAATTATTAAAATTTGAGTAAAAAGAAGAAGAGTGTTTTTGGTTGAAATAATGGGGTGTATTGAAATATAAAATTAATAAAATTTGAGTAAAAAGAGGAGATAATGGATATTTTTGGAGAGAGAGTGTCTTAGCATCATTATCCATGAGATTTGGTGGGTATCATCAGATATAAAATTATTAAAATTTGAGTAAAAGGAAGAAAGAGAGTATTTTTGGTTGAAATAATGGAGTGTATTGAAATATAAAATTAATAAAATTTGAGTAAAAAGAGGAGATGAGTTGTCTTTGTATCAATGGGTTGATACTTTTGGAGAGAGTTTAAACTTTAGTTGGGGTGTGTTTAAATATAAAATTAATAAAAGTTGAATAAAAGGATGAAAGAAAAGGTATAAAATTGAGTAAAAGGAAGAGAGAATGTGTGCTTTAATAATTTTATATCTAATGATACCCACCAAATCTCATGGATAATGATGGTCAGAAGACACTTTTGGAGAGATAATATATTTTAGTTGGGGTGTGTTTAAATATAAAATTAATAAAAATTGAGTAAAAGGATGAAAAAAGGTATAAAGTTGAGTAAAATGAAGAGAAAATGTGTTTTTAATATTTATTTATTTAAAGACACCCACAAAAATATCACCAATGCGGATGCTCTAAGAATTCTAAACATTAAAAAATAAAAATAAAAAAATAGGAGAGAGGCAGACATTAATGAGGTTCTACATCAACCCATTAGAGCATAATTATAGATAGTAAATATGATTAGGGTAATATATGAATTTTATAATATTAATTGTATTGAGATTGATGAAT